AAATCCAGAATTAATTCACCCAATTGATGAAATCATATGATCGTCTTGTGATTCTAAAAGTTTGTACATACATACATAAAACAAAACATGTTTTAAAAGAGGATTCCTAAGTAGGTGTTATAAAATTATTACCTCACCACTACAGCGTAACGTGTACTTATAACCGTTTACTAGCAAAAACTTTGCAATCAAAAGTGGACACGTAGAAAGCAATTTTATTCATTTATGCCTACAATTTTGCTTGCACAAATCCAGAATTAATTCACCCAATTGATGAAATCATATGATCGTCTTGTGATTCTAAAAGTTTGTACATACATACATACATACGTCTTTTCTGCAAAGAGATTTGTTTCGAAGCATTTTTCCTCGGGATAGGAAACTATAWTAGTAGTAACCGCTTCCTAACCTTTTAGATTTGACTTCGATCGAGATTATAAGTCTCCAGCAAATTCACAACCTTGCTGGTTTTGGTACAAAAAAATGTTTCCAATTTAGTCGCGTAGACATTGCAAAAGACTGGCAAAATTTTTTTTCATATTGTAGGCTCAGAATACGTTTTTCAATTTATGGGGTCTGTGACTTCGTTAAAGCCCAGGTCGAGATATCGAAAACCTCAACCGCCACTAAAAGCACCACTTTGATTACGGCGCAATCAATTGAAAGTACAGGCTTACCAAATTGTAAGTAACATCAAACGGTATCATCAATAGACTTGCGAATCTACACTGTTATCACTCATTATACTACGTATGAAAATCTGGTGAGTCAAGCACCAATATCTGTTTAAATAATATACTATTAAAGAAATGCTACATTGAATTAATACAACACATGCGCCAAWACTAATAAGGCAAGCCGTAAAACGMAGTATTTTATCTGTGGCTACTAATAAAATTTATTTATTTATTTACATCTCTGTTTATTTTTTACTGTTGTTTTTAAAATGGTGCATACTTATCATTACATACGCCCAAGAAGCCTTTGACGTATTCGATGATTGTGATTAAACAAAACACGGTTTACGTTTGCGAATGAAATGGCGATTCATTGCGTATTAAGCGCATTAAATAATTCATTGTAAATTCGTGTAAGTGAACATTGTTCTACATATACATACATACATACATACATACAATGTACTTTGTACCTATGTGAGTGCATATATTTTATGCTCATTGCTTACTAGTTAATGGTTTGCCGTTATATAAATATTTTTAACACAGGATGACGCAAGCTTTCACAATTCTACTTCCTAGTCCACAACCTGGGTGATGAAACTAAAGTGAGGGTGATATTTACAAATAAAATATTTATGGCGTGTGACAGAAGATATTCACGTTTTATGTAATAGATACAATGTTGCTATCGAGTATTACTAGATAATATGTCTATATAAGTATACTTATGTATACTCATTTAAAATAAAGTTAAGTCGTCATTACGCGGTTATATCCACTTGCAAGCCACAAAAAGCACATTGCTTTGTGAAATTTTTAATAAGAATTTTATTAAATAAATAAATTATAATAATGTACGTATGTAAATGTATAGAATTACGTTAATAATCGGCGATCAATTTTGACAATTATGGATTCTGTTGATACCGTAGGCGATCGCCAGGAAGACTTCAGAAAGAAGGTGCCTTTCGGTGGTAAAGATTTTTCTRCTWAAAATWAWAWMAAAWMMAAAAAAAAAAAAAAAAAAAAAATGTTATAAACATAAGTGAACTAGTCCGTAGTAAATTTTTGATTTTTTACAATATGGCGAGTTTAAAAAAAATTATGATTTTTTGTGAAAAAATTTGTAGCATAAAATGGATTAAAATAACGAAAAAAAATTTGTAAAAATATTATTATTCTGGCCATCACCAATATATGTACATCCATATGTATTTAAAAATGTCCTGTGCAAATAAGTAAGTCAATTGGCCCAGCTATGAGTCGATGACTCGAAGTTAAAAAGTTCTTACAAACACGCACATATCTCCGATTGCCGGATTAACTTCAAAATTTCGTGAAATAATTTCAAATATACTTACATACTGTGTACATTTTGTATATGCAATATAATATTAAATTTTTTGAAATTTTTTATTATGTGCCATTTTTGTTTTGTTTTTGATTACTAAAACTAAAAATTATGTTAAAATCAAAGTTCGAGCATCTTCTTATGTTCAATTTAACCATTAGTACATTCTATAGTATTGTAAAGCGCTGGCCACTTTTAGTAGTGCTTCTGAATTAGTGCTTACTTGCGATTTCAAAACTAGAGGTAGTTAAAAATATAGAAAAATAGTTTATAATAGTAATTTTAGTAAACGAAATAAATTGCCTTTGAAAAAAAAAAATTATAATAGTTCAAGTGAATGCTTTTGTTGAAATCACTCGTACGAACACTATATAAAAGTGATATCTCTAGAAACTACAAACTAACACAATAATTCAATAACACCATAAACGTTTATTTGAAATCACAAAAAAACAAAAAAACTGCAAACTACACACACACACTTGCAAACCAAGTGAAAATTGATAAGAGCCAACAGGCCAACAGCTGATCGCTGCTCCAATCATTAGTAAAAACCAACAATAAAACAAAGCGGCAGTTGAGAACTAAGACTTTGGCACTTAAGTGACTGACTATATAAAGATTGTACCAGCTCGGGTATTCAGCAGATTGTCGTGAACATTGAAAGCAAGAAGCAAGAATATTAGCACTCAACTTACTTTAGTTGCACTAAGTAATTTCATTTAGTACAAAAACATATTTAAAGTTAAAAAAAAAAACAAAGTTTTTCGAAAATGTCTGCGAAAAATGTGAATTCACTTGTCGGTGCCACCACACGCTACATCGCCGGCCGAAATGCAATGCAGACAGTTTATTGGCGCACWATGCCCGGAACTGATGGACGAATGGTGAAAATACATAAAAACTGTGAATTCGAYAAAGTACAGAACCTGCCCGAGAAAATTCGCATGCAGTATTACCATAAAAACTTCTGGACCTCAACGGATGGGGCACATTGATCTCGGCCGCAAAAAAACAAAATGAATTTTTAGMCTAGCGAATTTAGTATAAGATGTGCGCTTGTGTTCTTCTATTAGTTATTGATGTCGCAACTCAATTAGTTCATTAGTAAATTATTAACACTGAAATATTTTCGTTTTTATTGATTGCATTGTTTTTCTTTTGGTACAGTTAAAACGGCAAAATGCGCAACTACACACAAACTCAACCATATTGATATATTTAATTGTGTGSGAGCGTGTGTTAGGGCCCGCCCCCGCTTCATGTAAATGCCCATGTGAAACACTTCAATTCATTTAATCGCCAACTAATGAGCAGCAATAACGCCGCCTGCGTGTGCATACACCTTGCACATGCTCATGGTGTGGTTTGGATTGTAGGCCAATGGAAGTCACTACGTTCAAAGTACTTAAGTACATATTCACTCTAATGCCAATTGGCACATATTAATATAAACACTTGCTGTTACAATAATCTCTGCCTTTCACACTGTGTGTACGTGGAACAAWATGTGAGGTCAAGCTGCCACGTATTAATGAAAGATTAAGAAAATAGGTACACTTCAACGCCGGATTAATGCGGTTAAAACCTGCTAATTCTAAACAGAACTATAAAACTCGAGCTCGAGATTGCTGATAGATTTGCACCTTGGTGCACTTAAGCGCAATATGGCTATTCGTAACATAGTAACTTTTTCAAGGGGTTCCTTCCAACTTATACCATTGATATTTACAAATGTGTTTGAGCATAATTTATTTTCCTTACTTTCCTTTAATAAATAAATATGTATGTATTTCTTTTCTCATATTATTTATTATTTACTGAATATAATTCAATTATGATGTTCCTTTTGCTCTCAATTCTCTACTTAATTTTTCTTAACGCTCACACTGGTATTCTCGAATCACCAGTAGATACTAGTCCCAGCTCTATCACAAACACGACATAAAATACTAGGAACCTTGCAGGCACCAAAGCTTGAATGGTTGTCTACAAAAAGCAAAACGGATATAGGTGGTTTCATTGAGAACATCAAAGGGTTTGAGCGCTGCAATGAAACGGGTTACCAATATTATAAGGTCCTCCGATAGTGCATCAAACTGGCGCCTAAAGGGCGAAGTGAGCGGTTCACAGTTCTTCAATGTCACAATACTTACCCTTAGAAATTAGCGATTAGCTTTCAAGAAAGTATTAATGTCGAAGCARAGTTACACTAAATGTTTATGAAGCGAAATATAAAATTTTCCAATTTCAGCCACTTAAGTATTTATTTCTACTGAAAATTATAAATGCATATTAATATTTTATTCAATCTATTATATAGTATGTAATTTACACAGAAATAAATTTTAATCGGCGAAGGCTAATCGTCGATTAATGGGCGTTTTGGAAATGAGCCAAAGTCGTTGACGTGATTGTCACTTCAATAAGAAAAAACACTACAATACACATGTTTCAGGAAAAGAGGAATGAAAACAGTATAACTGCATTTCAAATGACCAAAAGTGAATTGAAAGCAACTTCTATGAAATATTCAAATAAGCAGAACGTGAGAAAATTTATTTAGTAAAACTTTGATCGATTTTTATGGATGAAATGAATATTTATTGCACTGAATGCTAATTCCTTTCTATTTAAAAGTTTGTGAAGGAAACGTGATAGAAATCTATAAATATAACCGTTTCGCAAAAGAACAATCATTATAGTGCATAATATTCGAAGCTATACAATGTTTGTCCGGAAAGTAATAGGAGTAATAGGAGTCGATTAAAAAAAAAAAAAATTATAAAAATATTCGTTACAATTCTTTACAATTTTTCAAAATAGTCACTTTGAATATTGCCTCTTTGTCTCGGGATCATACTCCAAAGATACATGACTCGTCACCCGTGATTGTTATTCAAAAATTGGGCATCACTTTCACACAATACGGACTAACGATATAACGATTTTGAAAAAGGGACCTGCTAAAGTATGAGTATTTGGGATAGGTGGAAATTCAGGTCCCCACGTTGTCTGTCTATCCACGAATGAAGTCGAGTATCAGTATGTGGGTCCAACGCTCTTCGGATGGGGTTTTTTTTGCCTGTAGATGGCTCCGATTGCTGGCTCAATCACGGCAATTCGTCTCTTGGATGCCAATGGCTGGCATACTTACTAGCTAAAACTTCAGTAGCATCGCTTCATATCATTCGGAAACCATTTATTACTCGGTTTGCAGAGAACATATGCACTATGTTTATTGGCCTAGCATATGATTTTTATTTAATATAATGCAAGTATACGCCAGATTTATAATGGGGTGGRTGCGTTCATTTGCAAGTAGACTACACTTATAATTAAAACACAAGCATTTCAGATGATTTTACGAATATTTATTTAGTGGTAGTTTATTATCTTTTTTATATTTTATTATTACATACATAGAGTTGTCATAAATATTTAGTATATGTATATTTATTGTAAGATTAATTTTAGGTAATTTCTTTGAGTGGGTGAAATGTATCTCTTTTCAATATTTTACGTGTTCAGTATATTCATATTTATTTACGTTTTATTTTCAACATTATCTTCTTGTGTCGAATTTATTTAATTGTATTTACTTAAAATTACAGCCTTTATAATTACACTTTATATATATATATGTATATATATTTCTATGAATTTCTTTATCGCTTCATCAGCGCGCCCACTTTTCATGCCACACTTCGTACACGTCTTCTCACTTACCGATTTCCTTGCGCCGGAAATGAATTCGAGAATTCGCATTGTACTACACACATACATACGTACGAGTACTTCGTGCATTTCCTTTCTACTATTTCCGTTACAATTTTGTGCTTTCAAATATCGCACATTCATATGTATCTGTGTATTTGTTTTACCTATGTTGTAAGTATGTACGTGTGACTGTCAAATATTTGTTAGGTTTTGTCACTTGTGTGAGTATTAGTTTATTTAATATATTAATTCTGTTAATTTTGTTAATTTTGTTAATTTCTGACACATTTACCATATTTACTGGAAATATTTGYATGTACTGTATACTTCATCTAAATAAGTTGTATATTTATTTGTAACTGTTTTTCTTGTTTTTGCTTTTTATTTTATTTTTTTCCTTTCGATTTTCATTATTGGATACTTAGTTCAAATGGGTGTAGACGAGTTGAGTTCTGCACTTTCAATGCGCATGCTCCTTGATACTTAGGGACATAGGCATTTTGAGTGAGTGAGTGAGTGTGTGTGTGTGTGTGTGCGTGTGGAGTGTGAAAATCGGGTTCGTTGCAAGTGAAGTCTGCACAGATTGGTTGTACCATTATAATGCACACATATGCAAGTATATATWACTACATATATGTATGTATATGAACATGTGCAGCATTGTACCGTTAGTACTTGTAGATAAATGTGTTTGATTTTTCAAAATTCAATCGCCGCTGTATTATCGTTTCAATTGAAAAATGCGACAAGTACATTTAACATACATATTTTAGAAGTTCATATGCATGCATCTATGTATGTATAGTATGTCATGCATTGTTAATGTTATGAAGACACATTTCATTTTTGTTATTATTTTATATATATTCAGTATATTTATTTGTTTAAATTACAATAATTTCTCACATTTCAACAATCATTTTAATAATGGTATATTCGTATAATACAATACAATACAATATTTGGTTTGCTGCTTCATATTATACAATTTTAATATTCATTGTCTCAATTTTAAAACTATCTCGTCTCAAAAGAGAAAATATATGTACCTCTATATTTATGGCTATGTATATATTTATGTTTGCATGTATATATATTTGTTTTATTACTCTTTTTTATATTTTATTTGCAATAATCGTGTTGGTTTTTATGAGTTGAACTTGATGCCATATTTGTAATTTTTTGATTCGATAAATGTTTCTCACTTATTTTTTTATCGTTAATCAGATAGAACACAGTAGAGATCAGCATTTACACTTTTCAATATGATAAATTATTAGTCAATTATTTTTGTAGCTTTCGACAAGATCGCATGTAGTATATATGTATATAATTATGTATAACAATTATCATATAAATAATCAATGAAGATGTGGTCGCTATAGATTCAACCAATTCACAAAATTTTGAATGTTAATCTTTTATTTGAAGTAATGGAATGGGTACAATGGAAGTTTTATAAATTCAGAAAATAAAATTTTATTGAAATAGAGGGTGTGCCATGTCAAACCAATGTTTTCTCGTATTGTTTTGTCTGCAATATACAACTCACAATAACGAGGGAGTCAAGAGTACACAGAATTTAGTATGCGTTGGCTTTAAGTTGGATGCTGGCTCAGAAATGAAAAATTATTTTAAAATAAATAGTTAAGTATTTCGAAAATGTCTCAGATATCTTTACTTATGATGTAATTTCTTAGGAAAGTACAGTCCAAATAATTATAATGGGAAGAGGCAACAATTTTGAATTGAGAATTTGACATTATTAAAAGAAACATATAAATATTAAATATTTAAATTTTGTATTTTTAATTCATCATGAAAGTAATTAAAGCAATTGTTTTATGAGAAGTAGTTTAAATTCTGCTTCAGAGAAGTATAAAACAAGAAAGTAAACTAGCGCAGATAAAGCCATGAGCTACTATCAGTTTGACATATTGGGATAAACACATAGTGGAAATCAAATTTTCCCTTTCCATTGTCAAATGTAAATAGAAGTTAATATTAACCTTCGTTAATGCAAACACAAAAAGGGTCAGCGCTTATTATGTGTACCAGATAGGAAAAAGAATAAATAAGGAATTATATGAAGAGGAAGTTKGGAATATATTCATGCCATCGAATAATGTATTTCGACGTTTCGACGTGCGATCCGTTGACTGGCATTTGATTGCATTTAGTATATAAACGGGCATTTGTATATACATATATATAAGCACATCTATATGCGGATGCACGAATAATAATAAATCGATTTTGTCATATGTAAGCACATATGCACATACATATGTACTAAGTAAATATCGTACACATATAGTAAAAACTTCGGTGAAACCATTTTGCGCTACAATTTCATTTGAATTTTTAACAATTTTGAATACCAATTTCCAAATGATATAAACACTTTTCATCTCATACAAATCTAATTTACACATGCCTACATGTGTGTATGTATGTGTTTATGTATGTGGGTGCTTAATTTTGATTTCTGCTGTTAATTGCTATGAAAATAAATACTTTTTAATATTCATATGGATTTATACACATACGAGTACTTAGTATGTGCCAGCGAAATGCAACAACAACATATAATATTGTTCCAGTAGGTTTTCTTAATGACTCCGGTAATCAAATCTCGTTGGCGAAAATCGGTGGCTTACTTACATATACATACATATCTCTGTTACATTTACTACAATTTTTGCCGGAATATATTCATTACTCTTAATAAATCTGGATAATGSGTATGGAAATAATTTAATTTTGTAATTTAGTTAATCAATACTTGTATTGCAGTTAGTATRCATATATGTATGTATGTATGTATTTCAAAAAATCAAATCTTACATTTGTTCACTATAATAAAACGCATCAAAATAGAGTTGTTTGTATATGATGATCATTTTCTCGTAAATATCTTACAGTTGTGGTGTATATGTATGTATTTAAACAATTACATACATACAGTTTGTACACTTTTATAAAAGAGAGCGCTTTATGCATTTTCAATGATAACAAAGTCATTTAAATGTATATAATATTATATATATTACGTTATTAAAATGAGTAAGTATTGAGTAGA